CTCTTCTCTTTTCTCTTCTCTTTTCTTCTCTTTTTTCTTCTCTTTTCTTCTCTTTTTTCTTTTTCTTTTCTCTCTCTATCTTTTGGGATGAAGAATGCAAAATATTCTGCAACACTTTTTGTAACACTTCATAGGTATTAATGTCCTAATATTGCCATTTAGTTTCTTCCTTTAATTCAGAAATAAAAAGAAATACAAAAAGGCAGCATCTCACAGAAAGGGCAGTAGACTTTGGATACTTAAATGACACATCATTTTTTTTTTTTTTTACACCAGTTCAGTGATGCAAAAAATATACCAGTATGGCTTTAGTCTTCAGATTTACTAAAAATATTGAAAAGCAATACAGTCATCAGTATGCAGTGCTTTGAAATATTACTATGAACTACTTCAAATATTTTGGAGACTGTCTAATAATCTGTGCAAGTTTAAACACTCTGCTTTTTGTTAGCTGTATTCTTTCAGGGTCATGCAAGTCTCCAAACTGTAATTGAGAGGTAGATGACAGAGAAAAAAAAAAAATTGAATTGCAAAATAATAACATGAAATGATGTTGAAATTATATAGCAATACTTATGCAAATTGTGATTTAAAAGATGCCTATACATGCAAATGCTTTAAATATGTATGCACAAACATCAGAAAAGTGCCAATCCCTCCTCCCCCCCAAAGTAAACCAGAGAGCCTTGTTAAAATTGATGTCATCTCTGATAATAAGTATTTTCTAAAAATCCCTTTATATTCCTCAGTAGGAGTAAAAAAATAGTTATCTAAAGAGAAACTAACAATTGCCTTGATTGAACTTCGTTAAAGGCAAAACTGTCAGTATCCATTGCAGCAAGTTAATCTAGCCAACCATATCCTGGGTTACATCAAGAAAAGCGTGACCAGCAGATAGAGTAAGGTGGTTCTACCCCTTTGTTCTGCTGTCATGAGACCCCACCTGGACTACTGTGTACAGTTCTGGGGCTCTCAACACAAGAAGAACATGGAGCTGTTGGAGCAGGTCCAGAGGAGGGCCATGAAAATGATTAGAGGGCTGGAACACCTCCCCTATGAAGACAGGCTGAGAGAGCTGGGGCTTTTCAGCCTGGAGAAGAGAAGGTTCTGGGGAGATGTTATAGCGCCCTTCCAGTACTCGAAGGGAGCCCACAGGACAGCTGGGAAAGGACTTCTTTATTAGTTCATGTAGCAACAGGATGAGGGGAAATGGATTTAAAGTGGAAGAGGGTAGATTTAGACCAGATATTATCAGGAAGAAATTCTTTATTGCGAGAGTGGTAAGATGCTGGAACAGGTTACTCAGAGAAATTGTGGATGCTCTCTCCCTGGAGGTGTTTAGAGCCAGACTGGATGAGGTTTTGAGCAATCTGGTCGAGTGGGGGGTATCCCTGCCGATAGCAGGGGAGTTGAAACTAGAGTTCTTAAATGGTCCTTCCAATCCAAACCGTTCTATGAGTTTATGATTCTAAAAAAGTGGACTTGTTTAGTATATCCTGATGGCTAAATTCAATCTGGCTATGTGTTATATCTGTAGTTTATTATATAAGTGAATAACACCTTACCTCCCCACAGCCATCTAAAGTAGCAACTGAAAAAAAAAATATATATTTCGGCATTTGAGGGAAGACAATGACAGCAAGTATTTAACAAAAGAGATTCTGTGCCATATCTAAGTTTTTTTGTGCAACATCAGAATGGAAAATGGGGAGTCAGGAGAACCTTCAAGTTGAATAAGAGGGGAAATGGAGGTACAAAAATAGTTAATAGGGATGCATTTCTAATGGGAAATAAAATCAATATGATTTCTGTATGGATAAAACTAGGCAAGATGAATCCTACTCCTTGACGGAGTATATGATGCATTGCTACTTCATAGAATCTTTATGGACAGTTGTACCAAAAAAAAAAAAAAAAAAAAAAATTTCAAACTCATTGTTTACCAGCAGAGCTTGTGACTCTTTATAGACTTTAAGTTTTGAACCGTTATGTACATTCTGACAAACTTTTTTTTTTTTTTTTTTTTTTTTAAGTGCAGTGGATGTTGCTATGCAAAAATGCCATCAAAATTAATGTGAATGTTGAGTCACGAAGTCAGTGAAATTGTTGCCATTAACTTCAACAGCAAGGAAAATATTAGAAAACAATAATAATCTTTTGAAGACAATTTTTTCCAACTCTGTCAAAACAGTTCACAAATCACCTTCTTGAAACATAAGTACTGCACTTTGACTACAGGATTTCATATGTGAACCTGAGGGAGATACATAACTGGCAACAGCTTCAAGCACAGTTCAGTAGTGAGAAGTGGCAAGGGTGAACATTTGTTCTTGAACAAGTACTGAGAATTATTAGTGAGAAGGCTTTCTCTGGAGTTGAAAAGGGCAAAACAGAAGAACCGTCCTGCTACTAGAGAATTATAATGTCAAAAAACCCTAAAGAGATAAAAGTATCTGGATAAGTACTCTGAATCTATCTGAAATTTAACCATGATGTAAAATAGGAAAAATATGATCGATGGAGGCTGATTATTCTCTTTCCTACTAATTTTAAGATTTTGGCATTATTTGATTGATTGAATATAAACAACATGATAATCTGGCTCAGAAATATTATAGCAGAGAGATAAAGAGGACGAAATATATATTAGATTAAGGCTAACTCAGGATTTGCTTACGCTGACTGACAGAGACTACAGACTTCATAGTGTGTAAGAGATGCATGCGGTACATCTTAAAGTTTGAGAGTACATTACATGACTGTACAGCAAAGGCGTCTCTTAATCTTGACCCTGCAGTGGTCCATAGTGAGGGCTGTCCAAAGTAACTAAAATAAAGCAGGGGAACATAAATAAATGATATATACTTGGGTCTCATTCTGAAAGCAGAATGGTAAGGAAACTATTTGCAGTAATGATTGCAGCTCAGTGCAATAAGAATGATATTCTGGGTTTTATAGGCAAGTTATATTCATTTCACTACTTTAATGCTCATAGAATTGACGGAAGGCAGTTTATTATTAATATTAAAATAAGAACCACATATTAAAATTCCACTTTAGGACTCTTATTTGGAAGACTTTTTCATTTCTGGCATTTTTTTTGCATAGATATGGCTCCAATCTTCTTCATTATGCTCTGCATTCAAAATTCCATAACACTCAGTAATATCAAGTGCATTCTGATTTGCTGTTGTAGTAGTGGTTGTTGCCAGTTTTAAGAAGAAAAAATGAGAAGGATGTAAAGAAATGTTTCCCTTGATTCAGTTCACATCTTACATTGTTTCTGTTGCCTGATACATCATTTTACCTCATTATGTGATTAAAAGTTATACATTGGTGAATGGTGGTAAAGCAGCTGTTTCATTCCTACTACTGACATAATTGACTGGAGATGAAAGATCAGGAGTCCTTTAGAGAATATACATAAATGCTGATTTCCTCTGAGATAGTAACTTCAGTGTTGCTATTGCAGGTATGTCTATGGCTCAAAGAATCTTGTTTTTCCCTTATTTCCTATGCCATGTTTTATTGTGTCCTGCAGTTCTTTATAGAACAGATGAGCTGCCTGCATGATTCCCAAAAGCCTCTTGAGTCCTAAAGGTCAATTTTTAACGGGCTTAAATTAAGTTGATACTTGCTGTCTTTCACCCTGCATTTTTAATCATGCTATTTTGTGTTTCTGTTGTTGTTGTTCTTTTTTTTTTTTTTTTTTTTTTTTTTTTTTTTTTTTTTTTTTTTTTTTTTTTTTTTTTTTTTTTTTTTCCATTTTGTTTTATTGGGTTTCTGTTTGTTTGTTTGCTTGTTTTGCAGATAATAAACACACACATTTTTGCCTCAGTCATTTTTGTTCTCCCTCTGCACTCAACTCTTTTCAAATAATCTCTGCCTTTGACACTTGCTGTCAAGAGCAAAATGATGTTCCTGATGTCTACTCTTTAGCTGGGGTTTCAGTTCATCCTTTGTAGTCCAGCTTTATTACTGATATTCCTTACTGTATGACAGCTTGCCATTTATGAAACTCCACATCTCAGGACATGTGGGGCATTTTCAGACTGGATCCTGGAACTTCCCCTGTATGTCCATATGTCATAACCAGAGCAATGCTTTTATCTCATAGGGTGTTGTCTGGATTACATTTTGAAAGAAGGTATAATGTATTTATTTCTCTGAACTGCAACTTTATGGGGATTGTATCACTTTCCTTTAAAAACAGTTCATTGCTCAAATCTGAACAGATAACCCATATTTTCTTCTAAAACTCTGAAATACACATTATTTTATTGCTGAAGTACCTACAGGACTTGTAGATGCTGTCTGGATTTCCTGCACATAATTAGGTAAAAAGAAGACGCAAATTTTTGTACCATCTTGCTAGTGGAGTCATGATGTTTCTTCTCCAAAACACTGCTGAGATAATGAAAAGTTCAGCATTACTGCAGAAGTTCATAGCAAATAAGATGATAATCCTGCAAGACAGAGGCAATATCTTTTTTTTTTTTCTTTTCTTTTTTTAAATACTGAAAATCATCAAATTGAATGCTGTTCTTAAGAAACTGGCATTTACACTTGCTAGTTTTTGTTATTGTATTTCTTCTGTTATTGGCACTTCAAATTGTGTTTAACATATCTATCTGTCCAGCATATTTACAGCTATATGATATGTATTTGAGGACTAAAGAAAAATAACATACTTTTTCCTGAATTGAATGTACATGTATAAATGTTCTATGAATCAGACCCTTAATTTTCACAACTTCTGTGGCATATGTATGACACTCTGCAAAATGAAGAGCACCCTTCCTCAACTATGAATAGAACAGAAATATTTTCATCTAAAACCTTCAGAACCTTGCACTTTTCAATTTTAAGTGCAATGCTAAATCTTTCTTTTTTATTATTAATTTTTATTTTATTTTATTTTATTTTTACCTAAAGGAAGAGGAACAATTGTGTATATTTCAATTGATGCATCTATGTGAAACAAGACCAAATATCCTGCACAAAAAAAAAAAAAAAAAAAAAAAGATATGCTACAACAAAGCTCCCAGACTTGTACTGACAATGTACTTTGCAGCATTTTTGATTAAACCAATAACATGAAATAGAAGTAGCTTTTCACTAAATACATGGCAAGGGGAGATGAGAACTGGTATGAAGTTACCTGCCCTCAAGGACCTGAAGTTAGACCTTACATCTTGTCATCAACCAGTTAATGACTTGCCAATTAACTCAAGCATCCACACCAATTTCATTGCCATCAAGCAAGTGAACAAACTGATTTCCACTCTTGTTAGCAGTATAAATTCTAGTTTAAAATATTTTCATTTAGCTTATTTTGAAGTAGTGAGGTCTGAATGTACTTGTGTTCAAATATATCTGTTGAAGTACAACATAGCCACCTATTACAGGAGGAAACAACCTCTGCTGTTTATTGCATTTTATAAACTGTGCCCACCAATTGTTTGTCTTCCAACCTTAACTTCTACATTCCTATTGTAATTGTTTACAGATATAATTTTGATCTAGTGGGCATACAAATGAGAAAAAAGGTTTCATTGTGCTTCTTTCAGGTAATTTTGAAACAAACCCTAGAGCTCGTATTGTTTTTTGATATTAGTAGTAAATACAGTTTGGGCACATTAATTTAACAGACTTTAAGAGTACTCTATTAAAGAACACAAAATATCTTCCCATATAACAGTAACAGATGCTTTTGCATTAGATGTATTTTTGAAACAAAACTTTGTCATGTGAAGGCTTTACACCTAGTATTCTTGACTCTTCACTGTCCAGAGTCATAGTTGGATGGGCTTATTGTATAGAACCACTACCTCTGTAACTTCAATTTTGTATCAGTGAAATAAATAAACTGTAGATTGTAATTTAACTCAGAGTCTTGACATAGGGCAAAAATCTGTTCCCATCCAATATTGTAACTGATCATTATTAACACAAAACCTGGCTTGTGTCTTGAAGGCATATTTCTAATGGAAGTTATAAGTGTTGTCTTCTGGGCTACATAGCAGATTAAATATTGGTTTCTCTTTCTGAAGGATCTTCAAGAGTTTTGTCAGCTCTGCTAGCAGCATCTTCATTCTCGTTGTTTGTTAGTGGTTCTGCCTCCTTCAAGTCAGTGTTCTTCTGTGCTTTCTGTTTCTCATCTTCTAACTTCTTTTCTTTTGCCAAAAGCCTGTAGTTAATGGCATTGCCAATGAACAACCAGATGCTGGCCACAATCACAATTACTCCACAGACAAAATACATGTATTGATATTCACCAGTAACATCCACTAACCAACCTGAAATAGAAAAACAAAAGGAGAGAAAAGCATGTTTAGAATAGAATACCTAATACAGTCCAAATATTTCTCTAGAAGAAACATCTATATATGACCTGGTTTCAAAGCTGGAGCAGAAAAGTGTTTCCAACACATTCAAATTGTCTAAAATATATAGTGGACCTCTAATAAAACCTGTGTTGGTTAAACTAACAATTGTCACTGGAATCACTGACAATGATAAAATATTGAAGAACAAAGTAAAGCTTAACGAATAATGACAGACAGTTTTCAGTTCTTTCATTTTCTTTCATTGTTATATTATTTTACTCAGCTCCTGATTTTGTTTCCTATTGTTTTGGAGTGACTGTCTGACACTCGTGGAGACTGTACACAGACAATAGGATGAGATGGAATGTGCCTTCTTAGACTGCTGTCACTGTCATCAACTGCTTGTTTCTCATTTTTTATTTTCCTGTGACTGGTGAAAGAAATAGAAAGCCTTCTCTTCACCCATCATCCTTAACTGCTGATTTTTGAACTCAGAAGCCTGTACCTAAAAATTATATTCACAATTCTAAGATTAGTTTGCACATGACAAGGAAAATACAATATTATTCCATTTTATGAGCCATGCTTTCTGATTTTTTTCAACTCCCTTATCAACATTTGTACATATCCAAGCATTCAGCTTTGAACACAGTTACACCATCATTGAAATTCAAAAGATAACTTGCACTCTTCAATTTAGTACTTACTTAGATGCTTCTATTGGGTTGTAGCCATAACTCCCTAATTCGCCTGAGACACATTTCCTGAGACACATTTACAAGCCATCAGACTATTTTAGTCTTTTCTTTATTTCACAGGACTAGCATTAGGAAAAACTCAAGTAGTGCTGCAAGTGTATAATCAACTTATTACTGTAAATAGTACGATTTACCACTTTTTATTCATAAGCAGTTTCATTAAAATTGATTAAAAATGAGATTCTGCACTAACATTACTTCAGCATAGTATTTTAAAGAACATGAACTAGTCAAAACTGGAATTTAGATTTTTCATGTGTTCATCCCCTCTGTTGTGTCTGTTTAACAAGAGCAATCAATTACTTATCATTATAGCACAAATACTTGTGGTTATAGCACTACACATAGCCTTTAGAAACTTGTGCAAACCTGACGCATTAAAAAATAAATACTCATATATCCCATTGCACCACTGATATTAAATTAAAAATTTTTGGATATTGATATCAATTTCAGAGCCTGGCTGAAAAAGTTAGTCTATCAGTCACGGATGGCTCTCCCCACTAGATGGCACAGAAAGAATCTGTGTGAGTTGAATATGTTTTGTTCTGCCATTACCAAAATGAACTCTGTTAAAAGATGAGGCAGATATGGAATATCTTGAGGTCTGTTAAAAATATATTTGTATATTATTATTATTGTATTGAAATGAGTTGAACAGTTCTGGCTTATTTAAAATTTCAGAAAGGAATGCTTTTTTTCATACAAATATTGATGGTAATCCTAAAAAAAACTTGGACATGTACTTTTAGGCACATATAGTCTAGTTGACTTTTATGACACTGCTTATTTGGGTGTAGTGTATGTTCACAGAGCTAGGAGTCTTTGCATTTCTATATTGTTGGGCTTACAGTGCAAGACACACACACAATTAACATATACTTTTCAACAAGATTTGGGTATCTATTTATTTTAGAGAAACTTCTGTAAGACTCTTTTCATTTTTGGTATCTGATTCCCAAATCACAAATATACAAACACAAATATAGCCCAAGCTATACCAACTAGTCTGCTTTTTATCTCCCCTTACATTGAAAAGAGAAGTTAGTAACACTAACAGCATTCAGTCCAGGCAGGATGATTCATACACTGAAATGTCTCAAACCTATCTAACAGGCTGAACAATTGGCTGAGGGTGGAGGTGTGGTGTGACATTCACACGAGGGCACAGTGCCACGCAACACCATGCTGGAGTCTTGCCTGAGCTGCTAAGCCTGACTCTGTCCATTCCAGCACCTCTGCCAGTTTATTCTATCTAGATATGCAAATTCTCTCCATTTAGACAAATTAAGGTTGTCATTTTAAGATGTAAGAAAGTGTTCCTTCAGCTGTGATGAAGTTGGAGAAACTATAAGTCACTCTGTAAAATCTTCAAAAACTGACCAGTGGATGAATTCAAGAGAGTAAGAATTGTTCTGGTGAAGGGCAAAGTGGAATTGAATATATGTATATTAAGGCAGCAAACTCAGCTCTAAGTACTACCAGGGAATCATACATTTATTACCTGAATTTAAGGGCTAGTCAAGATACACTCATAATCTAGCTACTGCAAATACACTCCATGTACACCTTCACATTTTCATGTGGATATGAAAATGTGAAGTGCAAAGATAATAGTGCTTCTACATTACATTCCTAGTCACAGAGAAAACAAGACATAACATTAAGTAAAATTATTTTATTAATTCATTAGTAAACTGCAAGGTCATGTCTGGAAAGAAAATGGAATAAAAGAGATTCTTACCTCCTAGAGGAGGGCCTATGAGCACAGGGCAGCATTCCACAATGGTGACCAGTCCAACTGCACTGGAAAATCTGGCAGCACCAACAAGGTCCATCAGAGTCTCAAAAAGTACACTGCTAACCATTCCAAACGCAAACCCAAAAAACACAGCATATATCACCAAGCCAGTGTAATTTGTTGCCAGAGGGCACAAGATATGACAGACTCCATTGTAGAAGACAGCAAAACTAAAAAAGTACTGGATCTTTGGCCGGATAAATTTAGAGTTTGCTACAAGTCCCATTGAAGGCCTAGCAAACATATCTACAAAGGCCAAGATGGATAGCAAAAAAGCAGCAGAATATTCATCAATTCCCTTGTGTTTGGCATAAGGAGCCAAGAAAACTATTGGAGCAAAGAAACCAATAAACATAATAACATTTCCTGACAAATAGATCAGAAACCCTCTGTGTTTGAAGAGGGATAGGTCTAGGTATTTATTAATAGTTTGCCAAAAAGACTTCTTGTTGTTTTTGTGCAGGCTAGAATCTCCTGAGCCTTTTTCAACATCTTTTTTCACAGGAGGGACTGGTTTTGGTCCAACAGGCCTCATAAGTGACCCAGCCACACAGCAGTTCAAAAGTAGTCCTCCCAGAATGAGAAAGCTTCCTTTCCAACCAAATGCATTAAAGAGAAATTGATTGAGAGGTGCCAATGTGCTCAGAAACACTGGACTTCCAGCCATGGCCAATCCATTAGCAATAGGACGCTTCTTATAGAAATACTTGCCAATCATTGTTAAGGCAGGCTGTAAATTGAATGCCAAACCCAGACCTAAAATACAAATACAAACAGTACAAAGTATTATTGCATAGCATGAACTACAGAGCATACACTAGACTATTGCCAAGTTATTTATAAAATTACGAATATCTAATCTAGTGATTTTGAATGAAAATGAAAACCACCTAGCATGAGAGTGAAATACAGCTTCATGCCTTTCCGTCTCTCTTAATGTCAGCACTAGATCATGGTGGTATTCTGTCATTTCCACCTGTAGCATTTTAATACAAACCCAAGTTCCTTGCTGTGTTTCAGCAATGATAGAGACAGTGGAATGACACAGGAATTATGGTATCAGAACCGTGATTCTATTTTTTATTTAGTAAGCTGTAATACAATTCTCTCTTGGCTCATTTCACAAAAGTTATTAAATGGCACATCAGCTACAATGAAAATAGGGTGAATTTAAACAAATAAATCTCCTCCTATTTTATTTCCAGTTCTATTTAAGATTGAAATTGTTTATAAAAGTGGAAATTAAAAGGGATAATTACTTTGGAGCACATTCAGCTCTACAACCTCAGGTATGGAAGTCCCCACTTGTTGCAGGAGAGGAGGAAAAGTATGGGAACAATCCACACATTCACACGAGAATATGAGTTGTGTCTCTAAGCCTTCTGTCCATATTAAGAAATCTCTGTAATAAAGTCTAAGTAGCTATTAATCTGTTTGGTGGCACTCATTTTTTTAAAGATACTTTTGGTAAATAACTAATTTACTGGCCTTACAACTACCTCATTGTCTTAGGAAATATTCAGGCTTTTAATGGCATAGGAAAAATTTTGTTTAAATTTTGACTTGGATTTTACACAGAACACTTTAGAACTGAAACCTATCATATTTTCTATGGGAGAAAACCTACAGAAAGCTGGGATTAGGTTCTGCATTTTTACTAGAATTCTGCTACTCTCTGCCACCCTGCTTGATGTGTTACTTGATTGAAAGCTAAAACAATGAATGTGAAATGCTACACAAATTACTGTAATAAGTGCTGTCAATTTTTATACCATAATTACAGTGCAGCATGGAAGAGTACGTACATACGGCATTTATTGAATAAAATTCTCAGCTGTTCCTTAAATATTCTATGAAATAATTTAACATCATAGTGGCTAATTTAAAGAATTAAAACATTTACGTGGCTGAAATGAACTGATATTGTTACCTTCTTGTTTTGCATGCGCAATGCCTCGCATGGTGAGTTCTCCTTCAGTAACAGGTTGTTGGTACAAAAGTATTAGAAATAATATAGTATTACATTTTAAAGAGCACTCTTACCTCCAACAACACCAATACATATATAAAGTTCCAGAACGCTATTGCAGAAAGAGGAAGCAATCATGCCAAATGAACACAGAATACCCCCTGCTATCATCACTGGTCGGCTACCATATTTATTCACCAGAATGCTGCTTATGGGACCTGTTGGTAGAAAGAAAAGGTATTAGCAGATAGAAGGTAACTCTATCATACATGTCTTTTTCTTCAACATATGTTGGAATGTCTTACTATTCCATCCAGGAAAATGTTTAGCTGTTTCTATACCAATTTGTCAGACAAACACTGTTGCAGACACATGAGCCTGGATGTGGATATGCTATCTCCATGACAATATAAATATTGATTTGTCATAGAGATGGATCAAAAGATTAAAGACATCAGACAAGCAAGAGGGATTGTTACAGTTCACAGGTAATCAATACTGAGATCGGACAGCGGAAGTTTTGAAAGTGCAAGGGCTGAAGAATTTCATTATGAGACAGCTCCCAAAACTCTGCTTAACAGAGCAGGAAAAATCTCCAGGCAAGCAAACCAGCAACTGATCTTGTTGATACTGTAGCATATCAGTATGTCTTGGACACTGACTTAAGCCTACACATAGACTTAGAAACATTGTCACATCAGAATGTACATTTCTGGCCCCCAATGATCATTTTCCCTTACCTGATTCAGAGAGGCAGTTAATAGGCAATAGGATGATTACAGGTTGTCTGGGAAAATCTAAAATGTGGTTTAGCATAAAGATTTTGAAACTTTAAAAATATTACTACAAGTCCGTTTTTCAGTTTCAACTGCAGTTCAGTTTATGGTGTAATTACGTCCACACTAAACAAACAGCTAGTATGCAATTTAGCATGACATGCATTATATGTTTCTTAAACGACCGTGACTAGAATAGATGGCATGCTACATATCAAGATTAAGAGGTTGTCAAAGCTCTTTAGGCAAAACTGCACACCATCTGATCGCACTATATTTGGCCCAAACCATTATGAATCAGCTTGTTTTTGCAATAACTAAACTTACTCAATTCAAAAATAAAAACAGTGGTATTAAAAAGCAATAAATTTTAAACACAAAACAGGCACTTGGCATAAAGTGGAATGCAAAGCACTGCACCTGATTTCATTGCAAAACACTTTTAAGTCTTTAGATCTAAACATCTGAAGGAATAAATGCCAGAATTTTCACAACGCAAAAAAAAAAAAAAAAAAAAAAAAAAAAAAAAAAAAAAAAAAAAAAAAAAAAAAAATCCACCAAATTTAAGACTGTATCTTTCATGTGCATACTGTTATTTTGGACTCCACTGTTTGAATTACTCTAAATGTATTAAATGAGTTTATCCTTAGCATATGCCGAATGACCAAATTTTAGCTTACTTCCTTAAGGAAACAAATATCTACCAATTTCTCTGTGCCTGCTCACCTTTTCTAACAGCTTGTGAATCCAAAGGTCAGCTTGAAGTTAATTTGACTAACAAACATGTCAAGTTGACTGACTGAATATTTAGGGTTCTAATCCACTACAAAATTTCAGTGATGCTTGGATCTTATAACCTATATTTAAGAAACAGTTTGGGGCCCAAACAGCCTGGGGAAATTTCTGGCAATAAAAGGAGCTCCTTGTCCAAGCAGCTCAGGCATTAGCAAATGTGCTCAATTCTGCACGAGTGATGGAATGGACCTAAAAAAACTTTCTTTTCTTTCCCAGGAAAGCTGAGCAGTGAAAGATAGGTGGTGGAATATAGGAGAAACAGGAGTGCTATTTTACTGGGAAGGCAAAGGATAATCAAAGTGAAGGTGTTAGGGCTCATCTTGCTAACACACAAAACAGGACAGAAGACTCTGTTAGCTCTGCTGTTCACTGATTAATCACAAAAGTGGATTGAAACCTCCAGATTTAAAAACTCAATAACAGAATGGCACACCAAATATACAATAGCCCAGAGATTTAATGAGTTTAAATCACATATGAAACACTAAACCATTTAGCAGACATTTTACATAGTGAGATACTCAGCGCTTCTTTATTTCTACTAGAGGGGAGCCACCATGCAGAACCATGGTGAGGTGAGGTTTCTCCTTTGAGGACATATGTAGAAGGCATGAGACATGAAGAATGGATAACTTATGCTCAAACTACTTCTAAATATATCATGTGTACCTGTCCTGTCTTAATAAACTTGTGCACTCATAACTACAGTGATGTACAATTTCAATCACAAATTGTTTTATACAAATATGTCTGGAAAACCAGTAGTTAGGCTCATGTCTGAATTAGAAAGAAAGACCATTTAAAATACATGAACAATATATTTTCTTTGGTTAAAATAAAAACAAACAGACAAGAACAACAACAGCAACAACAAAAAAAACCACAACTTTAATTCAAAGTAAAAAGTTTCATTCCAGTATCAAAAAATATTTATATTATTGAAAAAATAAAATTAAGGTAATATTCTGAAACAAAAAAAGGTTTAAGTGTTCTCATTGCTAAATACAATAATGGTATCTCACTTCGAACACCAAAACAAGGATATTTTATTATTTTCAAGTTATTTTTCTTATTATAAGATAGGAATATTTCTATAAATTTGACCACACAAAAAAATCATGTGATATTTGTTAATTTCCCCCAAGTTATGTCAGCATAAATGCCAATTTTCTGTAATCATATTAGAATGTTCCTTTCATGATCCTTGGGGGAAGAGGAGGGGAGGAAGAGGAAAAACTACAAAAGAAACATTTTGGAGAATATTTTGTCAAAGTATTTACAGATTTATTAACTACAACCAGTAGCTTGAGTTGTATCTTTATGAGAAATTATCTAGATAGCAAAAGACCTGATAGCAAACTGTTTCCTTTTTCATTAAACAAAGACTGTGAAGCCAAGATAGGTGTGAGACCATGTGAAGATGACGAAGTAAATGCACACATAGCAGACTATCAAATGTTGGAGAGAAATAGATTGAAAAATATTATTGTGCAATATTGCTACATTGCTAACTTAATTTAAATAAAACTATGGATCAAGATTGCACAGTGTTGTCATTTTTCCAACTATAACCATGGGAAAAGTCACGCTCTGCAGTAGCATTTACCACAAAAGAATCTGAGCTGTAGTATCCATGTTCTTTGATACTGTTCCATCAAACCTTTCTTCCTTCTATAAGGCAGGATAATATGACAGATTCTTATTTGTTTAGTTGTCTGGAGAAGATATTTTCTTTTGGAAGTTTTCTCTTAGGGAATGGGAAATACCTCATTTTCACAGCACAATGCTTTCAGGGACATAGCTCTGTGAGCAGTTCAGAAACAAGAGAACTGCGTCTCCTTGGATCTTAACTATGGCAGCTGGGCCAGGACTTAAGGACTTACAGCTTTTGAGATCAAAGAATGCAATGTTATTTATCCTCACCTACAAGGTGCGTTAGCTCGAGGTCAAGTATGCATGTATCAGTTTAGGCAGGTAGTGGACAAAGACACCAGAGGAAAGACAAAGATAGCTGGTATATCAGAGCTCTGAACTTTCAAATGACTTGAACTTGGACTGCGTAAATTCAAAATTCTTTTAAAATTTATATTATATTTGAGGTGTTTTACTCAAGTAATGATGTGCATTTACTACCAAAGCTTGATATCACTTTTTTTCTTTTCTATATTCTAGTATTTTAATTTAGTATTTGTGCATCTGAGAAATACAAAACTTTCTATTAGAGACTAAGTTAGTTCAAGACACCTCCATTAGTATCCAGAAACCCTCCCAATCTGTTGAGTAGGTTAAATATGCTCTTGTGACATCTGTGTATATATTTGGATTCTGAGTCTCATAAAATGATGCATATCATATCTCAGTGTATATGAGTCCACATAAATTCCAGCTGTTTGTTTGTCTGAAATCATACTTTTCATAGCCCTGCATCAATCTAATTTCACATTTAACAGTTTCTACAAATAAGCAATGCTCACATGCCAGCAGCAGGGACCTAAATTCCATGCTTTTCTGTTTTTTGTTTTTTTTTGTTTGTTTGGTTTTTTTTTTGTTTGTTTGGTTTTTTTTTTGTTTTGTTTTTTTTTTGTTTGTTTTTTTTTT